TATATGGATTACGTCGAAAGCAATGGCTGAGCGCGATGAATAGATTTTTCTCACCTTCTTTCTTCATGCCAGCCCGAAAACATTTTCTCAACCGACAGTAGCGGCACTGATTTCGTTTGTCCTTGTTGATCACACAAGCTCTTTGAAAGCGACAGGCGTAAACATGGTTCTTTCTTACGCTCCTTCGGAAGAAACCTTTGCATCCATCGCAACTCGACGCTCCATAGTGCTTGCCTGTAGCCTTGTCCCCACATATCAAGCAGGCCCCGTTGTCAGCATCGTCTGCACGATAAGAGCAAAGCAGGAAACAGTTAAACAGCTCACCTGTGATTATTTTGAATGTGCGTGATGTAACAAACACGATCTGCAAGCGATCATAGTTGTTTATTACCGCTTTTGCTCGAGCTCTCGGCCTGCTTCACACCATTCAAAAGCTTGTCGGTCATTGACGACGACAAGAGTGGACTTTATCCCTAGAGAACACTGTGTTCCGAAACGGAACCCTCTACGTTATATTTATAGCCAGTGAAATTGTACTTTGAACTCGACGGGTCTCCGGTTGAGTTTGGAGAAAATACGACTACTCATGGCTGCCACGCATCGGAGCAGGCTTATCATAAATGAAGGGTGGTTCTAAGGATGTCATGTGACCCCAATGCCTAGCACGAGATGGATGCGAGATGTCGATTTCGACCCGATATTGACCGAGGTCAACTTGAAAACAAAGCAATTTTTTCGATTCAGGAAAAAAATAGTTTTTCCCAGAAACCACATATTTATTACCAGCAAATGTCTCACGCCATTTTGTCTGCCCTTTTGCGTCAAGGGCAGGGGGTCTCCGAAAAGTTCTAGAGAAGACGACAAAAACCCAGCTGTAGGAAATGTGTGAAATAGTAAAGGTCATTCGAGGTCTCGGCTTCAACACTAAGTGAACAACTTGTCAAAATCGTAATAGGTACTTCACGTAAAATCAACAATGATTTTGGTTTCAGATTGGCAACTTCAATTGCAATTTCGGCAAAATTCCGTCATTACGTACCTTTGTAGTTATGTCGAGTCCAATCACGAGTTGTCTTACTGCCACGTTTTTAGTACAATTCAACGCCCAAGTATGGCTCTCGCCTCGGTCGTTTAAGGTCAATTAAGGAAAAACAACTATGATTAAAAGCCAGTAGATATGATATCCGTCATGTCTCTTTATTACCTTGGGGTAAGGACAGATGCGGTGAGACAAACTAATATACATATTGTCTATCAAACAAGCCGTTAGGCCGTTAAATATCCACAGGTTTCTCTCCAGCTGTGTCATAGACAAATTAAACACGAATAAACATTAAAGGATTTTGTAATTTTTAAAATCCTAAAATAGCTAATCTTCTTATCTTATTCTTTATAGGCACGTGTATTTTGTATTTATCTAAGAACAATAGAATATTTTAACAGAAAAAACAGCGAATATAAAAAAATTGCTTACGGTAGCAAGTTTCAGATCAGCAATTGTTTTATCTGACTTCCTGGCGATTCGAAGTCACTTGCGTAAGAGTTTGGTTTATCAAATGTTTCACAGATGGAAAAAATTTTATAATAGAAAAGAAGAGAATATTAGATACTGACAGGGATAGTGTGGCGCAAGTTCATTCAAGTTTATATAAACACACCCCCACCCCCACTCCCTCCCCGGAAGTGACACGGTTTTGAAAGAGGAAGTAAAATATTACCTCGAATGTTTAATCCCCTAGGATCGGTGAGATTACATCACCCCTTATCTATATACTCTTAACTCGTTCGCCTCTTGTTAAAACAAAATTAAACCTATGTAGTATTCTGAGTAACATTCAATTGTCAGCCTAATATTAATAATAGAAGTTACGAAATTTCAAGTCAAATGACTCGAAAGATTTATAAGTTAAAGTACAATTTTTAAGCCGTGCTTTATACAAAGTCCACATGGTACCATCTTGAATAGAAAAACATAAGAAACAATGCCTCCCTTAAGTGCCATCAAACCTGTCAAGGCAAATACTGACTGACAACACTCATGAACAATCCTCCAAAGCTGATGTTTCTTTTGAGGTTGATGCAACCCCACAAAAAATTTTCCTTGATGAAGATTGCTTGACGAGTCCAATCACGAAATTTTTAGAGGCGCATGCAACCTTCATTTTTCGATCGATTTTTGGCTCTTTCGGCATGATGTACCTGCAAATTTAGTAATGATGATACTACAGCCAGATCTTTCACCAAGATTACATCATGTTTCGGGTTTTAAATTTTTGCAGATTTCAATTGCAGATCGTCCTCGATCCAGAAAACTAAATTTTGTCGAAAAATCTGGCAAATTAAACGCAGCAAAAATTTACCTCCTTCAGTTATGAAAATAGTGTCAATTCGTGTTCTTTGGATGCGGACCCACTCGAAATATCGATGTATTCAATATCATGATAAAAGTATTGGGCCTCTTTCAATGTTTATTCTCTTCTACTTGATAAGTAATGCTTGATCAGCAATTTCAGCTATCTCCAATTGCAAAACGTTATTCCCACAAAGCAATAAGAATCCCTATCACGCCAAAAACACACTGCTGAACAATTTTTATGCTATCCACTATGTGTCAATTCTCCTCTGCCAGGCAATTCCCTTGGCCCGCCTCTTATTGCTTTTAAACGCGAAAAAAAGTAAATTTATTTTCTTTGTTATTAATCGTGGAAGTAGGGGTACAACTTTATTTTCACCCGGTGTTTTCATTCATGTAAAAACTCACAATTATTTAAAAGGATAAAGCAAACTAGCTGCCCAAACTAGGAAAAGCTAACAACTTATTGTCAGTATTAGTTAAACCTGCATTACAAGGATCCCGTGTATAAACAGTATATCAAATAACTAGACAGATGCGTTCCTCAATTCATCTTAAACTCATTTAGTTAGATTTATTTCTGTCGGTAAGCTTTTCTCTTGCACCTCCTCGCTGCTTCGGCTAACACATCTTTTACAATGATTAGTAAGTGGCTGAGGCGTTGATACCTTGTATTCAGAATTTCTTAGATTTTAAGAGGGGTTTCGTTACGCTGGAAAACCGTGAACTTAAATTGATATTTCGAATTCTGTGGTTAATGACTTTGTACAATAATTGCTGCACTAACGGCCCATTTCTCACCGATGATGCAGCCGCACATCTCCCATCAAAGATTGCGTGTATGACTGACTTTCGAGTCACGAACTAGTGAAATACCCCTTGCAACCTGTCATTATTTCGAGACTGTTCTCTTTCATTAGCTTTACTGATTTTGAATGATTATTAAATGTCGCCGCGGTATCTTTCATCTTCTGCGTCTGTGCCCCCCTATAAAGAGTGCAAAAAGTTAATCGTATGCCTGACGGACATCGCTAACCACAAGCGGAAAAACAATTTTGACAACAATGAAACAGAACAAATATCAAGTGAAAGAGGGCCATTGGTCGTTCGCGAACATTGTGTAAAATGTTGATTTTACAGCGCCAGAGTTTATTTTAAATATTATAGGAAACCAATTAACAAAGCGGTTTGGATTTCTTGATACAAAATACAATAAATTTTGAAGTGGTAGCGCATTATAACTTTGCATACATCAGTGTAAACATCAGCAGACCTCATACATAGTGCGTATTCTAGGCATGCTGTTCTAGATTTTTAGGGGTCTTCTCTATTTGTATTTTTTGTGTGTGTTTAGAGCTTTTTCCGGGCTCTTGAGAGGTTCGTATTATTGGTTAAAACTAACAAAAAAATATTTGCCGTTGAATGTAACACTCCTTTTTATTTTGAAACGGGAAAAGCAAACACAATGCACAATAATTTCTATTTTTATATCTTCTGCTTCCAAAAACAATTCATTAAAAAATTAAACGAAAAGTGCTGAATAATGGGTTTTTTTCAAGCAAAACGTGATAGATGCCTGTCAAATATTACTCGGAAATCAAGATTAAAAATAGAAGGGCTGACTTTGCTGTTGAAAGCCAAAGACACACGAATTTTATGCGTTTACGAAACCTGTTCAACAGAATAATCCATTTTTGGTTGTTTTTTACATGTGAAGATCTAAAACATAGTAGCAACATAAACAGATTTTTCATGGACCCCCTACCACTGGGAAAGAAGGGAAATTGCCAAATTATTCGCCTTTTTTTGGCCTAAGGAAGGAGTGCTTATATACATACATACATACATACATACATACATACATATACTTTATTTAAGCTCGAAATTCAGTGTAGCTGTAGAACTAATATCTTCGAGAAAAAAAAAAAAAGCTATAATGAAATAAAAATATGCTATCTTACAATTTCAATATTACTGATTTATAAACTATATACAACTAAAAGCTAAGAGAGAAAACTAAGAGGGAAACATAACTTGTAGACCTACTGTGGAAAAGCTTCTTAGGAAAAGGCGCGTCTTCTTGCCTGTGGACGCAAGAGAAGTACTTCAACCTTCCTCCTCCCCCAACCCCCACCATACAAATCTTTGTGACTTTTCATTTGCAAAATCACATTTTCAGACCCGAAACCACACCAGACTCAATAAAACACCGTAAGACGACTACCAGTTGGTAAAAACTTGTGGTTAAATAAGAAAATCGATAGGAAATGGCTCTTCATACTAGCACCAACATAAGCCCCAGCTACTCTCTCCTCTCTAGTGGGTAATTTATTTAACATCCACACGGTAGGGAGCCTCGGGGAGAGTTCTCGAACCGATAACTGTTTCTCTGCAGAGGTGAGTAAACTTTAGCTCTGATTCTTATAACTTAATCAGTTTGAATGTTTAACGTTGTGCCTCAAGCGGTATATTAAGCGTTGAAATTTTGTTTTAAGTGGTTATACGGGAAAAAACTGCAGAAGTTTTGGAAATTTTTGTGGCAGAAAATTTACATGTTGAAGTCAAGTACTTATTGATCACTCGAAATCGTTAACACCATTTAAATTTTAATGTCGTTTGTCTACAGAGAACTCCATAGGAACCATATTCTGTGTCGTTAAACATCACAGTGGAAACTTTCATTTGCATTTACGCAGTGATATCAGAATTTTGTACAGGTGAACTGTAAAGCACTGTATTTCATCCACTAATATGGCGCAACGGGATTGATTTGTGTATGTTTACAATCTAAACTCTCATATTAAGCATATTTGCTCTCGTTAAACTCACAACTTTACCACTTGTTTGGAAAAGCAAAGCGAGGATAAAATGCCCATCCTCAAAGTCTTTCATCGGGGTTAGTGCGTGTCGAAGGAATTACCGAATAGGTAATTAATTTTATACACATAAAATGAATAAAATTATCAATATTGGCATTTGGGAGTGGTTTGGGTGGGAGGTGGGTCGTGCTGACATATAACGGTCATCAGAATTACCCGCAGAATGATTGTTAAGTGGGGAAAGAGAGTAAAAATAAAAAAAGGCAACTTGCAAAGAATTATTTCATTTATTTACTCGTTATCTATTTTGTTTGCTGGCCCCCAATATAATTGTCAAAAGACTTCTTTACAGATTGATTGAAAACTGCTAACTATGATTTTTCAGTTGGCTTTCCCCTTCTAAATTGAATTATCAGTGAAAATCGTCAATTTATGAAAATAAATCTGTGATTTAAAACAATCAATCTCCATATTTCTCTTCATTTATTTTCAAATTTTGAGTGATCATGAATGCCTTGATTCCATGTGTAGTAATATCACTTAAATGTATTTTTTTCCCACTGCTGTACTACCTTGAATTTGCATCACTAATACATTAATTCTTCCCTGCTATCATCCACATAATCACTTATTTCACTGATGCAGAGTTTGTAGCAAGCTTTGAGTTTTTGATAAGGAATATAAGGCTCCAAGCTGCAAACAATTTGGTTGCCAAGAAAAACAAAATAAGATTTTCACATACACTCCATGTTGCACTAGCAATTTACAAAGGTTTGCTACAAGACCTATAGTTTGATAATTAGTTGTAAGTTTTTCTCAAAGATTAGACAATATTGACCCAAGTTCAATGTGTGAATGGGGATGTCACCTTTAATAATTGTGCTTTTTTAATCTTAGAAGCAACTCACAAATTGTTACAGCGGTGGAATTTATGCAATGCATGTGGTAATGGAGGAATCCAAGATTGGCTCAGAGGAAACAAATGACACCCTAGTTGTGTTGGAATTCTCACCAAAGGCTCCATCAGAGACTAAAGATTGGCTGACTGCACTTATAAAAGCTCCAGGTTTGTTATGTTTGACCAGTGCTTGTTATATTTAGCTGACATTACGATAGACAGGCTCTTGTTTGAAGGAGAACAAGTGTTTGTAACAGCAGTTGGTTTTTATTGGGTCTTGAGAGGTTTGGGTGTGAGACCAGGCTGGGTTGTTGTTTTGTATTCTATGGCAAAACACTTTACTCTCCTAGTGCCTCTCTCTGTCCAGGAGTATAAATTGGTACTGGTGAATTTTCAGGGAAGTCTGATGAAATGCTGAGGGGTAACCTTGCAATTGACTGGCATCCCATTCAGGTGGGAGTAGTAATACTCCTGGTCCCTTGATGCCAAGGGAACTAGAATAAGCTGTTGTTGGATTGGCCATGTGGCTCAAGAACAGACTGTATGTGTGTTAACACAACCTTAGTTGTCTACATTGTGATATGGATAATTGAAATTAGAAAATAATCAATGTCTTTATTTTTTAGGAAAATTAATTAAAATTTTTTAATTTAATAATTTCTTTTTCACCTGTAGTCAGCAGTGGAGGTGCAGGACTCCAGGCAAAACTGGTTCCAAACTCATTGAAGGGCAGTGACACCCTGCATATTTCTGCCAACACCAAACGTCTCCTTGTGGGAGCTGAGAAGCTCAAAATTAAGCGATGTCTCAAGAATGGAGCACCTGTGGATTTCTGCATGGAATTGTCCCATGAGTTTAAGGACTTTAATGATGATGGTGAAGGGTTTTTGACCGAAAGTGAAAGTGAACAAATTGTGTTTTTGGCACTAGAACGTATAAAGCCTTATGAAGATGGGACTGTTCCTGGTTATCCTGAGGTTAAACTTCAAAAACACAGGGCAACCAGTAAGTACACACAAAATATGAGTTAATTTGCATATTTGTACTACCTAACGAATAAAGGTTACTAATGATGAGCCTTATACTGAATTGTTGTCAGAAATGATGTTAATATTTATTTGTTGATTTATTATATATTTTTACTGCAATAGTTACGCAACAGAACCCACAACTTTAAAATATCAGTTGATAAATGTCAAAGTGTCAGAACATGGCTGATCAACATGTTCCATTCTTTAATTGGGATTGATATGAATGTGATAACATTTATGGAAACATAGTATATTTAGCTAAACTTCCCAAAGTAAATGTTCATATGAAAAAGCTTTTATAAAACAAACTTTTGATTGTATGAAAATAACTTTTGATTGTGAAGGAATGGTAAAAACACGATTCCTTATTAATTGTTGACATGAAAATTCAATTTCAAAACTAAACCCAATGGCTCAAACCCCTGCTAACACAAACCATTTTCCATTTCCTATGGGAGTTTGAGTCAGAGGGGTTTCATAGTAGTTATGCTAAGATAAGAGTTTATTTTCTCTTTTCAGTTCCAAAGTGTTTATCCAGTGGAATTATAACCCAAATATTTCCTCTGCATGACAAAGATAAACTCAAGGCCTTGGAGCACAAGTGGATATTTAGCCTTTCAAGGAAGCAACCTTTGGGTAATACAACTTTCACTGAATGTTTAATCGTTTGAGCCCAAAAAGTGACTATCATTTGATTTCTCCTTACAATATCACCCCTGATTCTCACATTAAGGTCATGAGAATAAAGGAAATGATCACCAACTGATGATGCTCTTTATTGTTGGGTGTGTTCTCCTTGTCAGCACCTTAGGAAATGTATAGAGAACAGTATGGAGAATGTGCATACTGATGTTAAGGTGTAAGGGGTTAAGAAACATTAATCCAAATCAAACACAAACTTTAGCAGCCATGCCGATAAAATACAAAGTAAGATAAAATAGATTTAGAGTCACTTCTGCATTCATAATACACAGTAGCCCCAGAGAACTTCTGATGAACACTGAAGACATGGTCTAAGATAGCTTCATGAAAAATAATGAATTAAAGGCAGCTAACTCTTTGAATTCTCTGAGTGAACAAGGCAGAAATTCTCCTTACAATATCAAAAAGATATCAAGCAGACAATTGATGAGAAAAAAAAACACAAATTAGGTGATTCTTAGTTGACCCAGATTCTTCAAAAAGTTAACATGATAAGAATTGTGAGGCAGACAGTAGCTATGGAGAATTACTCATGAGATCCAGGGAGTGAAAGGGTTTAAAACAAAAATAAATCAAGACCCAAAAGTGGAAGGAAGTAATAAAGAAATGAGACTGAGCTGCCTGTTAACCCTTTAACCCCCCATGAGTTACTAGGCAGAAATTCTCCCCACAATATTAATACAATATCAAGCAGACGACTAATGAGAAAAAAAAATATCAATTAGGGGATTCTTAGTTGATCCAATACCAAATTCTCTGAACTGACATCAAAAGAATTGTTTTGCAGACAGTGTGGAGAATTACTTATGAGATCTCGGGAGTGGAAAGGTTAAGTTTTTGACAAGAATTAGACAAAGCATGTGCCCTTCATTATAATATATATTACCTAAAATAGTTTAATCTGCCCACTGATTTTAGTGGATACTCACTTTACTCATAATTTCTTGTCTTTTAGATGATATAAGAGAGTACTTTGGAGACACAATAGCATTGTATTTTGGTTTCTTGGGTTTCTACTCATTATCTCTTGTTCCTCCCGTTCTACTGGTTCTTGTCTTCGGACTGTCTGGTGCCCATGAGCAGACAAAGAATACTGTATTTGCCATTCTCAACCTCTTATGGGGCACGGTGTTCTTAGAGGTGTGGAAACGCCGCTGTTCTGAGATTTCGTTCAATTGGGGCACGCTCAGAGCAGGCATAGGTGAGTCCACCCCGAGTGATAGTATGCTATGTTTGATAGCTGTCTTATACATGCATTTTGACTGGGGTTTCAGATTTAACTGTTAACTCTTTACTGTATAAAATAAGACAGAAAATTCTCACGCAATCATAATGATAAATAATGGAAGAGGTTCACACCTGACCACACGGCCATGTTTATAGCTCCCCTTTAAAATCCTTTCCTTATTAGCTTTTCCAAATGGAGAATACCTTTGTAACACAGACTTTTACCTCCGTCTGTTCAGCGTGAAATCAGGCCCTCGTGTTTGGGTTTCGCCGTACGGACCCTTTCCGGGCACAGCTGCCCTTTACACCATCGGCAGCCGCTTATGGAAAACGTTATCGAAAACCCTGATTATGAATTCTATCTATTGTACCTTAGGAATAGAGGAAGTTGAGGAGCCACGTCCAACTTACTGGGGCGAGAAGCGTATAAGCCCCATAACAGGACAACAAGAGTACTACTACCCACCATGGATGAGAAAAGTCAAAACATACTGTATCTCTTATCCCATTGTCATTCTGTGCATGAAACTTGCTACAGTGGTCGTGCTTTTGTACTTCCGCTTCCTTCACGCAGTCGAGAGCCAGTATGCAAATGTTGGAGGGATTGTTGCAACTGTTATGCTGATATTGCCAAGTATTTTTTTTGCTGTGATGATTGCCGTGTCCAATAACCTGTACCGCAAACTGGCAACATTCTTAAATGAATGGGGTAAGTGTGGTCACGGCTCCTTTTTAGATTTTGCACAGGGTGGATGGATTTGGCCTTTAACCCTTTTAAACCTTCAAGTGATTAACATGTAACTTCTCCATTTAACCCTTTAACTCCCATGAGTGACCAAGACAGAATTTCTCCTTACAATATCGATACAATATCAACCAAAGAAGTGATGAGAATAAAGAAAATATAAATTTGGGGATAATTAGTTGATCCAATACTAAATTCTCTGAACTAGTATTGAAAAAATTGTATGGTTGACAGTAAGGAGAATTACAAATTTGATCTGGGAGTTAAAGGGTTAATATCTAAACATTATTCAGCAAACCGACATGTAATGAGAATTCTCAAACTTATCAGGTAGAAGTTATTTTCTTGATCTAACACCAAATTCTCGTAACTGATTTATATGGAAATGTGTCGCAGCTAAAGGAGAGAGTTAGCAATCAGATCTCTGAAGTTTAAGGGTTAAAGTATGAATTTTCTACTTTCCAACACTTTTTGAGTCAAAGGCGTGATCTAGTTATCTTGAGCCGATAATATCCGAAGATGTCCGAAAGTTTGTAAAGATTTTCTGAATATGTCCAAAGACGTTCTGATGTGCAGAAGGTGTCAAGTGCATGAGGAAAGCGCGTGGAAAGCGCGAGGGGCGAGAAACGCACAAATGATTGGCGCATCTTACGTTCTATCGCTCCCCTGGAAAACGTATGAGCAAGCCGCCAATACCGCAGGCACTCAGAGTTTTTGATCCACAGGCATACGAATCAGGCCCAAGGCGTGTGAGTTCTTTGGTACAAAATTTATCAGAAAATTTATCCTGTAGACTAACAGATTTTCAGATTTTGAAAGCACTGCCAAACGCGTTCAGCTCTATATTTGGGCTTTATTTCGCTCTCTCCTTATCTGTAAATTCCTTTCTTGAGTCTCAACCAATATTTTGACCATATTCGGTATGTCGCCTTTTTGTGTCGTCTTTTTGCTTCGGGTGGATAACACAAATATCAACCTGGAAAATTCTTGATGTCACGCAAAGAGCAAGTCCAATCCTTGTTCATTATCCGAGATCTCGTTGGATGCCTCCTGTAGATACCTTTTCCTCTTGTTACTGAATTTCCTTTATTTTCAGAGAATCATCGCTTGGAATCAGCTTACCAAAACCACCTCATTGTCAAACTGGTTCTGGTAGGTGTCTTAATTTTTCAGTTAACCAGTCTAAGTTCCTAATAGGGTTTATGCCTTGTTTTTGTAGAAATTTAAGGGGTTTGTGGCCTCCAAATCTTTTTCTCACCTTGCCTTGAAAAGAATTTCCACAGCTTCGCCCGTTCCTGGTCGTAAATCTTGCCAAGCCTTTATGGTCATTGGCCTCGTAATAGCCTCTAACTATGGCTTATGAATACATACGTTTAGTGTTTACTTATAAAACTCCCTGAAGAAGTCTACGACAGTTAGACAAAGCGCGTCGGAGAATGAAAGAAGTTGAAAACAACTGTTCGCAGTTTGCTGCACACTAGTTTGGTTTTATAAAAACATAGTTTGTCCGACATTTTCAGAAATTACTTTTCTTGTTAATTTTGCTTTATTGCTTTAGCTTATTAAAACAATTTTTTTTTCACTCCTCTATGCAGTTTTACTTTGTGAACTGTTTCTACTCACTGTTCTATATCGCATTCTACCTTCAAGATATCGATTTGTTGCGAAGGGTAAGTACTCATGACTTGTTCAGCGAGCCGGTCACATTTTTATGCCAAGTTATTTGACCTTTTCTTGCAATTAGACGGAAAACCTTGAGAGGGCTGTAATAAATGTAGGCTGAAATGAAGAATGGCGTTTTTATGATTGTCTGATTCCCCATTTCTTATGTCCTGATAAGTCGTTCGTTCACTTCGTTTGTTTCTTCCACTGTTCAAAATATCGTAGAACTGGGGGAAACCATATCAATGAGCCGTTGGACGTTTAGAAAATACCAAAGAGATATTGATAAAAAAGAGAGAAATAAGAAACGATAAGGATGGAGAAGGATTTCTCTAAATGTAAACGATAATCTTAATTTCTCGACATGCACGAACCATTAGGTTGGTTATTTAACAGAAGTTTCAAGTTGTTTTCATTCAACCCTCTAGCCCTTAAGAGTGATTAGCATCTATTTTCTCCTTTTAATATCATCCCCTGAATCAAACGTTAAGGTCACAAGAATATATGAAATGATCACCAACTGAAGAAGCTCTTCATTGTTAAACAGATTCATTTTCATCACCTCAGGAGATGTCTAGAGAACAATATGGAGAATATGCATACTGATGTTAGGGTTTTAATGGTTAAAGGAACTGGTACATGAGCTTATCGACTTTTTCTTTTGCCTTCTAGCATCTTGGTGCTCTGATGATCACATCGCAGTTGATTGGACAAGTGACAGAATCCCTTATTCCTTTTATTATGTACAAAAGTCGCGTCACCAAAGTCTCCAAGGAAGGAAAAAAGATTGTGATGAAGACCGCTGACTTGTCAAATGAGATTGAACGACAAGCGACCCAGGAACAGTATTTGGTAAGGATCACTTACAGTGTTCTTGGGCGAGAAGGGTTGGCTATTTACCTTCAAAGTTCCTGTTCACCTTTATAGAAAAGTAAGCTGAGGTCCTGCTGTATTGGAGCCCAGTGGCTGACCCAGCCAGGTTCTTTTGTGATACGCGAATTTCATACTGCTAGAATCAGCATTGTTGCAAGTGTCGTGTGTGAAAATAGAAAAAAAAAAAGAGGTGGTAAATTTTGAGTTTGGTCAAAAGACGAAGAAGGAAGACGAAACGAAGAATGAAGAAAAGGAAGAGAAAAAGGAAGAAGAAAGAAGAAAAGGAAGAAGGATGTTTTCTGTTTTATTGCACTGAAACTGTAATTTGAATGCGTGCATAAAATCAATACTGTATCTTTTTTTTTTCCTAGGGTACTTTCGATGATTATTTGGAGCTGTTCCTTCAGTTTGGTTACACGTTTCTGTTTTCGTCCGCCTATCCTATGGCCGCCTTCTGGGCTTTGCTCAATAACGTGATAGAAATACGAACCGACGCCTTCAAGCTTTGCCGTATCTTTCAAAGACCCTTTGCAAAACAAGCCAACTCCATTGGCGCTTGGCAGGTAAGGACACGTGTGGGTGCCCTGTGGTGAACCTACATCTACGATATACTTCTTGAATTTTTTAATTTAAGGTTTACGGCCCTTGCTTCCTTGAAAGGCGAAATTTGGCCGAACACCATATAGAAGGCTAGTAAAAATGCCTTTTCGAGGATTCACGGGGTTTAGTTACAGCATCAAACGCAGGAACCAAGGTCTGATATGGTGAACCTCGGTCACTTACCTCACTCTGTTTTATTACTCAAGATAAGCTGCCATCACAATGACTCTTTAGCTCTTGTACGGGAAATGTATATTCTGGACTGGAATTTCCTGTAACTCAAGAGAAGTCCGTCTTTTTTAGTTAAACAGTCGTTAATTTTGTCGAGAAGGTCAACTCTTCAGTCCAGAGTTTCTCTTCCGATCGATACTAAGTCACTTCGATAACTCTTGTATACTTGAGTCAGCACAACTGGGCAAAAATGTATCCTGAGCACCTCTGACATATTTTTTTGTTTGGTTGGTTGGTTGTTTTTTTTGTTTTTTTTTAAAGGCGGCGTTCGAGGCACTTGGTGTCATAGCTGTCATAACAAACTGTGCTTTGATTGGCATGGCAGCCAAGAGTTCTCATTGGCTCCCAGACATGACACCTGTCAATGCTGTTCTCTTGTTTGTTGCCATTGAGGTAAGAATAACGTGGGTTTTTTTTTTTTCATTTCCCTGGTGCGGTTTTCTGTGTTATGCTGTTATATTTGAAGGCTCCAGGGGTCAACAAATTTCTATCCAACGTTTGCATTAATCCCGTACCCAGATCCTACCGTGTAACCTGGCATGGAAGGTCTGGGTGCGATAATCGATTCCTATTGCCATTGAAACGATGTAGACTGGCTGGTTACTAAGCGTAGTTCCAAATGTGATAGTCATTTCAGCAGTACTGCGGTAACTGTTTCCTTACAGTCTTCTCTGTAAATTGTTCTGCTGTATTCTAACTGCCGCCTGGTTACCTCTGGTCGTAGAGCGCCGGACTACCGTGCGGAAGGTGGAGGGTTTAATCCCCAGACCGGACCAACACTCAGCGTATTAAAAATAGCTGAGGAGAAGGTGCTACCTTTGCTATGCAATCTGAAAATGGTTAGACGTTCTAGTCCTCTCGGATAAGGACGATAAATCGTAGGCCACGTCTCCTGCATCTACTCTATAGTGGTTAGGAGGGGACGTTAAGGAACCCACGCACTTAGAGAACGTAGCTCCTTATGTTGGGGTCTGGCCTTGTTTCCAAAAATTTGGGGTACCGACAAAATTTCCTTTCAAAATTGTAAACTGCTCAATGCAGTTTGGCCAAAGTCCCTCGCACAATGTTGCAAAGCACATTTTAGCGTGTTAGTATAGATAATGTGTTATAAAAATGCCTCATCATCATATTAATAACTCTTTTGTTACAGCACTTTCTCCTGGGAGTGAAGTTCATTGTATCACACGTTATCCCAGATGTACCGCAGTGGGTACAGGATGAAATGGCCCGGCAGCAGTACAAAGCTCAACTCGCGCTCAGGGTAAGTTCTTTTTATTTGGTTATTCAGAGACTTTCTATTTTTCTAAATTGATGTTGTTTACTCTTGTATTTTTCTCGCTACAGTCTCAGGGTGATGACTTAGAAGGCCGCAGGAGTGCATGGAAGGAAACGACGCTATAACTTCAGCAAGTTACACTGAGAACATTTTCTAGGCAGTTAGCAGTAAGCAGAGGATTTTTACCAGTTTTAAACCAAGAAGCTAGAACTTAGAAACTCTGGGTAATTGAAAATGTTGTAATGACAAGAAATGCAAAAGAAGTGTCTTTCTTAAAACTGAGCTGTTGGGGCAGCTGTTACTTACTTCTCTTTTGCATAATCGTCAGTTACCATTTTTTTCCTCGACCTTTTTTATACCTTGACTCATGAGGTCCCCTGTTTGTCATCAGTGCACTTTTAGCTTGAAAATAGCGTCCCTTTCAGGAACACCCCCTCCTCCCGCCTTAGGAAGCAGCAAATATGTTGGAGTAAAATTTATGCTGCCTTTAAAGTCAGTAATTCCTGACTTCTCTCTGGGAATGTCGTTTTCAGTTGAAATGGCATATTTTGTGAGGTTGGTACTTTAAATTTACGAAGCAAAGTTGAACGAGAATGGGGAATTAGTAAAGATGTAAAAACTTCGTTGCATGACCAACACTGTGTTTCATGACGGCTTAATAAATCAAAGGAAATCGACTGTTTGAAAAGTGCGTGCAAAATATTTGAGGGCGTTACGTCTGGAAATGGAATGTTTGGAAAGTGCGTGCAAACTCTTAAAGGATTTGCATCTGGTTTTGTGCATCTTCAAAATTTTCTTAGAATTAATCGTCGGTAGTCTGTGTCAATTTTAACCGCACTAATATTCTGTGGTTTCCTTCAAGTTCAGGGTAGTGTCGCACAGCCTGCTTAGCTAGAGGTTTTGTGTGCGCTTTAAAACTGCGGCAAAAATAAGCAGCGAAGCCTTGAGAGGTTTCGGAACGGAAAATAAGAGAAACTGCTCGAGTACCAAATAAGCCGCCCTAATTGCAGGCTACTTTAGAGCGGCCCGAAACTTGACTTGAAGTAACGTGACTTAACTCTTTTAAATGTTGTCTATCGGGTAATAGTTGTACTCGACTACTCAGAACTGAGATAGATTTGTTATTTGAAAGGCACAAAAGTAGATACCCTGCTTTCTTGATCGTCAATATTGTGTAGCTCTTTAAGGTTGTAATATAAAGTAACGATTGCTTTGAATTAAAGATCAGGGGGTTTCGCAATGGTGTGTTGTGTGTAGCCGAAAATTTGAAAGATCGAGGAATCCTTAATCAGTCCTGAGGTTTATTTTGTCGTTGAATTTAGAAATTGACTAATCTTCATCTTAATTTACATTAAAAGGAACCGATATGCATGTAGCTTTTACAGGTTAGTTTTGTAAGTAAAATGCCAAGTAGATTAGAACTAAATAATTCAAGTGGCGTGCAACCCGAAAACTCATTTGCTATTATTCGTCTGATTTAAAAAGAAATATGAATTTATTAATAGGAAGTTAGGTAAAAAGAGCTGGCAAGCCACCTCGCTTTTCACGTATTGACTTGGGTAAAATATAAGGTATCATGATCCAGCAAATATTTTTACTCACGTGCGATTGGTCTAAACGTAGCACGTGACTGAATTTGCCCCAACTAAAACTGGGTGATATCCGAGAATATCATCCAAGTGATATACCCCAATTTTCAAACCTTACGTCCTCTACGATAAGTCTTCTTTTAAAATTTAATTCAAGGTGAGAAAACGTTTTGTGGTTCTTACAGAAGAAGGGAGATATTTTTTGTTCGTAAAGTTTGTACCAGAGAACACAAAAAAGACATCTCACGCTTCATACAGTAAGCTTTTCGTAAACAATGTTTCACGTTCACGCGTGTTGCAGTACATTTGAAGGATAGGAAACACGACACCAATTTTGCGCAAAAATATGCTTGTATTTTTTTCCTCGAACATTATCTGTTCCTCAAGGTCACAGTTTTCCTCGAGCTTCACTTTCGGAAAACTGTTCGCATCTTGGAACAAATAATGTCCGTGGACAAATATTCGTGCATATTTACGCGCCAAATAGAGGCCATTGTTTATTCATTTTATGGCAAGGTAGTTTTGAGGTAAATCCGGGCATTCCGATTGGTTCTTGCCTGGTCCGTATTTTCCCACTCTGATCGTTTCCACGGAAACGTGTAGTCTCCGTTCCCACGAAGTCGTGTATTCTTGTTCGGGAAAGCCTAAACAAATTTGGTCCGATTACCATATATAGAGAATAATATATGGCGCGCGTAGATATGGAATTTCTCTTCGAGTGTTTAACTCGATAGCTGACGAGTGAGCGCAGTGAACGAGTGAGATGTCGAGTTGAACTTGAGAAGAGAAATTTCATATCTACAAGCAGCCATGTATTATTTTATTTATCATATAAACACAATAGCCCTTTACTGACAAGAAAAGCCGACTTCTTTAATGGATGAAAATAAATGAATCGACAATCCCCGAATAACGATCGTGGAGTGCGTTGGCGCTAACGCTTAAGATGGAAGAATACGTTGAATCATGATCACAAAAACATCAATGGTCATAATTTTCAATATACAAAATTCTCATTTATTGACTTTGTCCTTACTGACAGAAGAATTCTTTCAAGTAAACGGCCAAAATCGGTGGCGTCAAAGGCGAGTGACCTGTCAGCAGCTGATTGGCTATATCATCACACGTGAAAAAATAAGATATTTTTTCAAGTGCATCGTTACGGATTTTCTAAGGGCGGAAATTCCTGTTTAACACTGCAGTTTATGTGATAAAATAAACTACTTAATAGTGTCGCTTGCTCGAGCCGCTCTGGCTAATGTTGGCCCTCAGTCGTCTTTGTGTGGAACTCGATGCGCTCAGTCCGTACTTTCACGACCAAGAGCCAACATTCCCCTTGGCGGCCCTCGAGCTCGGTTAGTGAGAAGTTGATATAGAGGGATGCTTTCGAGGAATTAATCAATTGTTATATAAATTAAAAGTCTGGTTTAAAAATTAAACAAAGGGGTGGATGGGTTTTATCAAGTTTAAGAACTAATTCTTCTGAAAAACCCAAACTACAACGTGCAAGTCTTCAACAACTGAGAAACAAAATTATTTTTTCTTCGCTCGGGTCCGGTCCAGCTGAAACTATTTTCCATAGGGCAACAGAATAAACAAACACAAGGCGATTTAGTGGTTATTTAATATCTTTATTTACCCAGTTTCACAGCTCTAAATAATCAAATGAAAAAGCAAATCATTTCAGTCTTTGACAACACGTGACCAATGTCACATAACAATTATTCCGTCTGAAGAGGAAAGTTATGACAAATTACACAATTATCCCCATACGTGTTATTACACTTTAATTGAATGCGAATTCACTAGTGGAAAATACGGAAACTCTTTTGGTTTATTTAACAATTATTTGTCAAAGGCAAAGTGAATATCGTTGAAGTCTCCGCGAGGAAGTTGAAGGGATTATTCGATAATATTCACTGAGTAAAATCATGAATGTTATTCAGTATATTTTATTTCTGTGCTTGAATACTTTTTGTTGTGTGGTGGTAACTGGCAACTAGCTAGTCTTGTAGGACCGCCGTCTTTTCTTTTCACGGAGACGTAAGACTTCGGCAAGCTACGTTTGTTCATTTAGTTTACTTCCATGCTTTCGAGTTCTGATGTAATTTCGTTTTGTTGCTGAAACCATTCTGCAAATTGTGCATTATTTTACATGGTTATTTTACATGATTATTTCGAGTGTGAAAGTTGCTTCCTTCATTGAGTCTCCTCATAACTCAGATAGGAATGAAATGAGTGCTGATTGTCCACAAAATATGTCATTTTGTCAGGACGCCCCATAACTTCATAAACCCCACTACAACTATTTGAATTTAATCACGTCGGAAACATTAGCCAAAATGTGTCTGCCGTGCGTCAGCTGCTAACGTCATCCTGGTTATCGTAACGTCAGAGTTCTTTCTTTTATTTACAATTAATTAAATGTTAGACAGTTGAAAACAAAGACTTGATTTCTTGGATTTCTTGTGTGTCAGCCAACTTGTGCCTATCTTCGTATTGTTTTTCAAGTTTTTGGCAAGTGCTTTGTAGACTCCTGTGAAGCGGATTTCGGGCCAGAATGTGCGTTCTTTGCAGCAGTACAACTTATAAGCTTGACGGTCGTAAATTACTTTCCCCTGAGGCGAGTTTGAAATTAAAATTAAGAATCATATTTTTCGATCATTGCCTTCAAGTTGTTTATTTTGGCTCGCGAAAATGCAAGAGGTCGGTAAACCTCAAAGTAGCCTTTTTCCTGCGCGTAATCCTGATTAGAGTTTATTTTTTAAGAATCTCAAGCATTAACTACCTTCTGCTCGATTATACAAATAATTTGAAAGTTCAAATTCAATTCTTTGTAGCACAAATACGGAATCAAACTTTAAATACCATTTTAGCAAGCTGCCAGATCAGAATATCCTTATGTAACGTGCAACATTCATTGAAGGAACAAGCCGCAAATTGTGCATCTTGACAATTTTCATCTAAATTTTCAAGCTAGTTTGGCGTTCACAAACTGTGTGAATCCTTCGCATCCTTTACCAGTTTCTTTTCATTTTGGTCTTTTCCTATAGCTCTGTTGTTTTCGTACTCTCGAAGACGGTCTTGTTCAGATTTTATTTTATCAATCGCTCCAATTACCTAGATTGTCGTTACGTAGCTTCATTTAGAGCACTCGACTGGAAAATGTTCTAGCGCGGGTTCTCAACTCTAACTGTTCTATTTCCTCGGGCAAAACGCGGCTACGAGGACGCACATGAGAATCATAGGGGAATACAACCCTCAATCCTTGTCTATAACTAGAACTGAACAAAAAATAAATGCATGGGTTGATCGCACTGATCGAATGTGCAATGAAATGAACAATAAATGTAGAGTTTGGATTTCCGCAATGCAGTGTTTCCCAGAAGAAAAACTTTAGAAATGTGAACGTGACGAACGGCGCCCAACATACGATGAAAACCAAAACTATGACAATACAAAGTTTCAACACGGCATTGTTTCGCTTCTCGCGGAGTTTTCTCGCGTTTTCGCTTTGGTAATGCCCCGGGAACTTCTGGTGTTTCAAGCGAAGAATGACGGCAGTGTACAGACATGCAATCACTGACAAAGGCAAAATGAAAAGCAGGACTGAAAGAACAACGAAGTAGAACTTCTGCGCCTTCAAGTTGTCAAAAAGTGGCGACCAGTTTAGTAAGCAATGTATTTCACCTTTGTAAACGTGAAATCTATAAATGTAGAAGTAGGGTGAATGGATGCCAATGGCGATAAGCCAAGTGAACGGTAGTGCAATCTTTACTGACTTTAAACCCATGACTGCCGCTTTAACTGGGTAGAAAACGCTGTAGAACCTATCAATTGCGATCAGAACTAAACTCTGCGTAGAAACCGCGGTAGAGATATCTTGGAACAGTGGTATAAGCTTGCACAAGGCCAAGCCGAAATCCCCGCCAATAATCCATCGGTTGGACTGCAAATAGACCCCACTAACCACCCGTGGCATAGCAAAAATTGGCAATAACAAATCAGATACGGCCATATTAGCTATCAGGTAACTGGTTGTGTTGCGCAGAATTTGTGTTTTGAAAATCACTAGCATGATGGTAGAGTTTCCAAATAA